CCAGCTCGCGCGTAGCTCGCCCGTAGCTCGCCCCTGTGCGGCCGAGAGTCGACCGATATCCGGACGTACATCCCACGAGTCTCGGCCGTATTTCGTCTTTGAAAATCGGGCGACGGTCGCTGAATACGGTCGACCCTCGCGCGAGCTTCGCGAAATATTTGGGCGACCCTCTTCCGTACGTCGCCCGACTTGCGCAAAGTTTTTAAAATCGTGCGTGCTTCGAGCGAGCTTCGTGCCAGTGTCGGACGAAAGTTTTACGAGCCTCGGCCGAGCTCCTGTGAAGTTATTACCTTCGCCAAGGATTGGAGAAGGTTATGTTTTCGTGGCCGTGTGTGTGTGTGTGTCTGTCAACAGCATAACTCGAGAAAGCTTAGATGGATTATCTTGATATTTGGTAGATGGGTAGGTCTTGTGAGATCTGGAACTGATTAGATTTTGGGCCCCCTGGCGGCTTGTCATGGTACTGCAGCTGAACTTCCGGTTTTGATATCTCATGATCCAGACATGCTAGGGTGACGAAATTTAGATGGCAGGTAGCTCTTGTGCTGGGGATGAAGTGACATGAGTTTGAGCCCCCTAGTTGCTTGCTCTAGAACTGCAGGGGGGTTTAAAGGACAAATGTTTAAAAGAGGATAACTCAAGAACCGATTGATGGATCATCGTGATTTTTGGTATGTAGGTAGCTTGAGTGATGCTTGACATAATGATATTACAATTATGCAAATATGGATATAATTTGCATAATTAATGAGGAAATTCTATTAATCAACTGCATTCCATGATAGGAAGTTCAAGCTTGCGACATATGTTATTAACAACGAGAGAAACACAGGCAGATATCGATTATGCAAATGAAGACTTAATTTGCATAATTAATGAGAAAATGTTATAATTGCATAGTGGTAACTGCCTGGAATTTTATACTTGGGGTGTTTGAAGTTTAGTGAAGGTAAACATAATTTAACATAATTTATTCAAATAAGGACCTCATTTGCATAATATATGAGGAAATGCTATAATGGCATTCTTTGTTAAAATAAGACTGTTGGTGGAGATTATGATCAACAGATATAATCCATGCAATTGCGGATCCTATTTGCATAATCAGGGGGATTAATACATTGTATATAAGTTCTTATTCATAAAAGCAAACATCATTTGGCGAAGGTATGAGATCGTGGAACTCTAGTTATTTATTCAGCACCTGTGACATTTATTTGAGATTGCATTGACAGTATACTGTGTAAAGTTTGCAGGAGCAACGTCCCATTGATTGTTTAAGTTATGTTTACGAGAAAGGATAAAAATAGACAAAATCGTCCTTTTTGTCCATTCGTTAATAAACAAAACCACTTTAAAAAGATGATGAGGTTTTAACTATATAAGGCCAAATGCCTAGATTTTGACCTTAACTGATTGCACACACATGAAATCCTTTACTCTTATCCCTTAAGGAAATTAAGGCCTTATTTCAGAAGATTGTATAATAAATTGACGTTTACACTTGTTCATTCTGAAATGAGGTTGACTTTTTTCTAAGGGTGCCCACAAGAACGTCATGTGATATTACTTACTAGTTGAAGTTTATATTGCATGGCTCTTTTTACCTCTGTCTACTTTGTTAACATTGAATGGCTAACTTATTTACCGGAAGATTCATACTATTTTAGACAGAAGTATACAGGCAAAGCTTTAGAACAATATATCTTATTAGCTTTGTTCAGGTACGCGTGTATAAAAAGATTTTGACATAATGATAATCATTATGTTATTGTACATTTTGGTTGAGAATGGTCTAGAGATCGTGCGAGCATCGACAGATCGCCGACCACAACTCGGGCGACGTACGCCCGTGTGTCGAGCGAGCTTCGGCCGACTCCTGTCTGGTTAAAAAGGTGATCTTTATGTTAACCAGACGGTAGTATACATTTGTGGCTCTTGTGGTAGTATATGAGTTGGATCCTTCACAGAATTCCTGTTTGTATTTCTATTTTATTCTGCCAGTCCGCTCCATTACTTTGCTTAAAAAAATATAACGACAGGTCAAACATAAAATTTGGTTCATTTTTGGTGGATACACGGCCTTGCGTCATCTGCGTGCCATGTCATAGGGACTTCATTATCATAGAAGTATTGCCAAGCGATCGCCCGAGCCTCGCACAATGTGACGGCAACGATTTTCAAGCCAAAAATACGCGCGATCGTCGGTCGATCTCAAAATCGGCCGATCTTTCGGCGATTGACAAATACGGCCGAGGCTCGTCGACAATGTGACGGGGGTATTAAGAACACGTTTTCGCGTGTCAGCGAGCTTCGGCCGATTCCAAAAAATTGCCGGCGATCCCGAAAATTCGCGCGATGCTCGACGGAACATCGGGCGTACTACGGCCGTAAATGTCGTTTAGAGCTCGCCGACTAGTCGGCCGATCGATTTACGCGCAATGTGACGGGGGTATTACAGAAAGCCAAGGAGCGGCTGCGGGACGCCTTCCGTGACGCCAAGAAGAAGGATCTGAAGCCTAAGTTCACGATCGAAGGAGTTTCAATGTTCCTCTGTGTTGCTGGTGGCAAGAAGTTCAAGACACCCGATGAGTACTTTTAACCCTCCGACTCAGGTGACAGGAAACCTGTCCATTATCTTATTAAGAACTTTCGGCCGTGTTTAAGTGAAGTCACCCAAACCGCGATTCGGGTAACTCACATTCCTCACATCTGGTCGACGTGCCACGCACTCCTGTGAAACCGTGTCCGATCACAATTCGCTTCAGCTAAATTTATTGCTGTTTGATGATAACACGCAAGGTAGCGTGTTATTAACCCTATCTAGACCGGGCTTTTTTGAGCAAGATTTGACCGGGGGGGGGCT